GTGCCTCTTTGTCGCTCGTTCCGCGCTCTCGCTTGCACTTCAAGCCTTAAATGGAACGCCTCAGAGCGAGGTAACGCCGCATGAGTCATGTTTTTTCGTGCGTGCAGCCGGCTCCATCGAATTATAAGACGTTGTCACGTCAAAAACCAATAGGTAATTTCTTTAAAATAAACTTTAGTTTTTACCTGCGACTCCATTCGTGTTGATGTTCGAAATACGTGTCAAAAATCATCGACGACCACATAAAATTAATTTTTCTATCTTTTCAGAACAATATTTTTTTTAAACCGTACCCTATGCTCTTTTATATATCCTTGACTATGTGTGTGCAAAATGTTATGATGATTGATGGAGTAGTAAAGGCGTAAAATGGGAATAAACAAACAAACTCAGAATCGCATCTAGTTACATCCGGCGATCTTTGGCCCTACCTATGGATCACGCCCCGACCATGAAACTTTTCATTAGTATATAAGCTCATACATTTTCTAGCTCATGAAAATCTCACTAACATCCGACCCTCTTAGGATTATCTTCCTATACTCCCCCCCCTCGGATAGAAATCTTTCTGAACTTCACCTCCTCCTCCCCCCAGGCGTTTTAGCTATCGTCAGGCAATTTCAACGCTAAACACGCCTTTTGAGGCTGTCAACAAACCAATAAAAAAGGCACCTTCCTTCTTGCCAATGTTCTCGACTTCAACCTCACAGTTGAAGCCCTCCGTGACCCAACGTTCCTCCCTACCCCCACAATCAATCTTCTAACATCCTCAACATTTTCTTCACAAAAAATGTTACTCTTTCCGCCGATCCTATCGTGCTTGACGTACTTAGCTCGGATCATCTTTCAGCCCTAATCGAAGCCGGACGACCAATTAACAACCTCCAAACCACTTTACTAGACTGACTGCACCTCCGCTACACCCTTGAAACATCTTCATGTAAGTGCACTTTAATTCGTACAAAAGCGGAACTCCACGAAACTGTGAATCTTCTTTCAAATGAGACAACTAGCGCAATCGAGCTCTCTACTACCTCCCACTCCACGTCTGCCCCAGATAAAACCTTTTCCGCAGACATTCTTGCCCTCCTTAAGAGGAAAAACAGAAACCGCCGCCTGTGGCAAGGCACCGCAATCCCGCACATCGTGCCGAATTTAACTTGCCTCACAAAATTCTACAGCGCCCCTTTCGACTAATATATCGCCCAGGCAGAAGCACACCCCAAAACCACTTGGAAAGTGATCCGCTTTACCCAACACAGAGCTCCCCACTTCCCATCATTAAAGAGAAATGACTCCCCATACACTTGAGATGAGGAAAAAGCTGCAATCTTCGCAGACTCTCTCTGTCTCCAGTGCCCACTACCTAGCCTTGTGGATCTTGCCGAATTTCACAAGCGAATCAAAGCCACCTCTCGAAACTTCGTCCCCTCGTGAAATCATCTTCACCATCCAATCTCTGAAAAAGAGAAAGAAAAGCCCCTGGCGCGGACATAATTTCAAACGGTGGGTGTCTTAAAGGCCTTGTCACCAATACACATAAATGCACTATGCAATATCACAAACGCTATCATGCAGCTCCACCATTTCCCTTTGGTCTTGAAGGAAGCCTCAGTCATCTGTCTCCCCAAAAAAGGGAAGACCCTCAGCAATCCCTGAAGCTTCAGGTCCATGAGCCTGCTCAGTTCGCTGAGCAAAGTAGTGGAATCCATACTTCTAGACCGGCGTCTTGACCACGTGGAGCAAAACAATCTCCTTCCCGATTTCCACCACGGCTCCGGCTGGAAATCCAACAGGCCTTAGAAGGAGTCTCGCACGAAGGTCTCATTTCCAAGTTTATCGCCCTAAAAACCCCAGACTCCCTTATCGGAGTTATTAGATCCTTTCTATCTGACAGATCTCTTCGTGTCCGCGTTGGCTCTGCCTTATCCCCCCGCAGAGCCATCATGACCGGCGTCCCCCAAGTCTCCAAGCTGTCTGTTTAATTCAAACTATACTACGGAGCCCCGCAAATATTAACAAATTTCTGCCCCCCGCTCCTCAACCAAGAATTTATACTGTTTTTACTAAATTGCTTTATGTCCCGTTTATTCAGTTGGGCAAGTAGATACTCTAGTGAGAAATTTTGAATAAGCTAAATTGGGATCTTGGACCAAAACAGACTTTATAATTTCATCAAAATTCTTATTGCTGTTGTCGAAATCAATATTATACACAAATACAACAATTGGACAGAGCGTTATGAAAATTGATTCGTAATACTTACTAGCTACACGTACACACAAAAAAAAATAAAAATATAAGAAAATTACTTACATCATAAGCCCCAGCTTTGATCTGTGCATATAACCTATGTTGATCTTCGTCCCAGAATGGCGGATAACCCACAAGGAGAATATACAAGATGACGCCGCAAGCCCAAATGTCCACAGGTTTGCCGTAAGGCTCCTTTTTCAGAACTTCTGGGGACAAATATCCTGGAGTACCAGCAAAACCGAACCAAGCTTGTTGGTCACCCTGGACCTCTATGGCTAGACCGAAATCGGCTAACTTGACCGCCGCTCCTTTTGCTTTACTAGCCAAAAGAAGATTCTCTGGCTGAAACAAAATTGTAACGTACAATAGGTACTACATTATTACACTAATCTATCATAATTCTTAAATATTAATTTTTTTTTATAAGGAATAGGTACGAACATAAAGATATTACCATCAATAAGATGAATAATTTAATTGGAGTTTAGTTTAGTAAGGTAATTTTTCATGTCGTTGTTTATAGATCAGGAAATATGAGTGGGTGAATGGGAAAATTATTCGTATGAATTTTTTTACGCAATTTTGTTCGGAAAATTCTCGTGAATAGAACGATATAGGTTGCCAGCAGGTAAGTCGATCGGGTATTGTTTAAATCACGATTGTTTAAACAAATG